TGTTACGTTACTGTAGATATGAAGATAATGACAAAAATAACAATATTTTGGCAGCCATCTTGAAATAAAATATGGCGGCCATCTGACATAATTGTTGATGATTGCATAATACTCCCTGATATTGAAAACATAGGTAAAGACCTTTGAATGACAGGGCCAGGTGCTGTAGATATGAAGATTATTGATAAAAATCCAATATTTTGGCGGCCATTTTGAATTTCAAGATGGCGGCCACTAAGTGGCTTATTTTTTGGGGTCTATTTTTTTTAATGATTCTTAGGTATCATAGTATCACTGTTGGAAGTTTCATGCTTTCTTCCAAAAGTGCACGATTTTTCTCCTTAGCCGCTCTACTATAAGAGCATTTCTTTACTTTGCGTTGCGTACGTTGCTTTGCGGCAGGTTTTCTGCAAGTAGGAACCAAGCTTTAGGCATAGGCTAGGCCTATATGGGCCGGGATTTACAAAAAGGTCTTGGACTAGGCCTAAACTATAGCAGGAGCTTGCCTGACCCTATAGTAGGCTGGCCTAGGCCAATAATACAGTAAAATTTTGTTAGTCATACGAACACATTAATTAATTTAACTTAACCTTGAAAAGAAGCCCATCTCGTAAAGAAGACCATAGGCTTCTTTTAAAGATAGCAGAGGATTTTTTTCGAAGTAGTACACTGTACATGAATTTCAAAATAAAAAAAAAACACTTGGTTTATACAGTACAGTATTTAGGTGACCTAATACCGGTTAATACACTCCATGATACAGATTGATGTTACGACAGTGGCTTTATTTATTGCTTTATAGAATTAATTATACTCACAAATTCTAGGCTTCTTTTCCTTTTTTTTTTTTTTTGCGAACTTCGGATGAAATTTTTTCGAGGCTACATTTGCAAAGTCAGGAGAGGAGGGTGGGGGGGAGGCTTCTTTTCAAAATGAATGCTGTAAACTTGGGGAATTCTACTATAAAACAATTAAATAACGCCACCATAGCATTAGTGTGTATCATGGAGTGTATTAACCGGCTTTAAATCACCTACTAGATAAACAAAACGTGTTTTTATTTATTTATTTATTTTTTTATATTTTTTTTTTGCTTCTTTTAGATTCATTTACGCCTACAGTTCATGTACTGTACTATCTCGAAAAAAGGTCCTTGCTATCAAAGAAGTACATACTTCTTTTCGAGATGGCCTTTTTTTAGAGGGCACTTTTGCAAACTAAAGAGGGAGGGCTTCAATTCGAGATGTGTTTCTTTTCAAGATGAAGCCCAATGGGCTTCTTTTCAAGGATTTACAGAATTTTAGTATCCTTAAGTTAAATTTAAATCTTTTAAAGTTTTTTTTTAATTTTTAATGAAAAGAAAAATGAAATCGTTAATTTCCATCTTGGTAGAATGTAAACCTGTATATGACCATACAGTATTCTACAATACTATTGGCCTAGGGAGGCCTTCTACTATAGTTTAGGCTAGCCTAGTCCAAGACCTTGTTGCTAATCCCAGCCCATTCATTCATTTATTTTATTTAGACACGATAGCATTTCAACACAAAGGTTGTTTTATAAATGGTCGTGTATACCCAAAAGACAAATATAATATTATGTATAAAAGAATTATATATAGTATAATAATAATAGAATAATAATTAAAAATATGAATAGCATTACAATTTTGATTTAAAAATCGAAAGAGAAGGCGAAGATCTAATTTCAAATGGGAGACAATTCCATTGATGTGAACCCCTATACACTATGCTACGTTTCTCGAAATTACTCGCAATCAAAATGTCGCAAACTGTAAACAATTTATTTTTCAAATTTAAAAAGATTTTGAATATATAAGGGCATAAGTAGTAGTTTCACAGATTTATACATAAAAATTGACACTTTCCTGGATCTACCGAGATACAGCTCAAACTGTCTAACACTGTTGCAGCTGGTTCATCCCATTTGCAACCGAGGATAACACGTCCCGCCCTATTTTGAAATCTTTGTTTTGCAGCCAAAGTATCACTACAGTTGCCCCAAACTTCGCAACAATATTCAAAATGAGGCAAGATGATAAAATTATATAAGGTAATTAAACATAGACCACGTTCCCTTGATCGCCGGTACACTGAGCATTAGAGACACGTTGGGAAGCATTGTTCATGACATTGGACACAGCGAAAATTGATTCCCCCGTCATACTTGGCTGGCTAGTTTTGATTTACATTTCGCATGTCTAGTTGTCATTGTAAAATGTAAATCAAACCAGTTATGTTTGGGTGGTTTTTGGTTTGCATTTTGGAACAGAATTTGGAGAGTTCGTTTCGAAAAATATTTCTACTCAAATTGCCATTAATCTCAAAAAGAGCATACACTGGACAAAAATATTTTTCTTACAGGGGGTCAAAGGTGTGGAAGCAGTTATCAGATGAGAGAAAAAGATTGTAAAAACGTTTGTTCCTTTAAATATAAATTAAATGAGAGGTATATGAGGGTTTACAAAAATGAGATGCTTCTAAGTATAAACAACTGTATATTTTGTAATAATGCTTCATTAACCACTGAAATAAATATTACACTAACTTTTTTTATAATTGATGCCTAATTATATTGCTGAAAAATAAATTAATTACTTAATGTCATTTAAAAAGTTTTTTTTTAAATTTCATATTAGGGCTCTGCAAATAAAAGCATGCTTATTCGCAGAGTTCCTTTTTCACGAAATGATAATGTCTGTGCACTTACATTATTTTAATTATTATGAATTATTATCACGCATACTGTACAAATTGTATTATATAAAAAAAGTGAAACAAATATTACTTGAATTGAGTTAAATTGAAATGTGATATTTTAGATCTGGTTATATACACCAACATTCTTTTCCGTATGAATCTTTTTAATTGTTTTCCTCTTCGCAGATATTTTACTTACGTTTTATGTTGTAACCATATTGATTGAGGAAAAATGTTTTTCAGCTGGTAAGTTTGTGTCATAAAACCAATTTACGCCACTACATGTTTTAAAAAAATACTAAGAATACTAATTCCAAATTTCAGATTAATAATTCAAAATTGGATTACTAGTTTAAATTCCATATTACTATCTTAACATGTACTTGAAGTGACACTAATGCAGTGGCGTATCCAGAAGACTAGTACTGGGGGAGGGCTGGACTGTACGATACGCCACTGCACAATTTTTTTGATATTTTATAGGCCTATACTATTTTTATTATGTGTTTCGGTGTTTCACTACTACTACGTGTACATCAATAGACTAATACCGAGACATAATGAGCACATTAGAGATGAATGCGAGAACGAAGATTTACCCCAAACTATTATTTGATACCAATAATAATAATAATAATAATAATAATAATAATAATAATAATAATAATAATAATAATAATAATAATAATAATAATAATCCTTATACCACCATTACCCTTGTATTATATCATAAATATTACTTTAATTTAAAATGATGACAATTTAATTTAAAACAATCATATGTATATAAAAAAATATCGATAAAACTTATTTGGAATAGTATATGTTATGATACTTTAAAAAGCTTAATATTTAAAACTAACGAATCCCTAAATCCGCTGGTAACCACTCTCATAAACGTGGAAAGAAATGCCAGGAAAACAGAGTATTTTAAAGAATTTGTCCTTGAAAATGGATGTACAAATTTGAGATGATCTCAACATCGCGGGTTGATTTTAATGTAGTTGTAAATATCTATAGTATAGACATCATGGAGACACAACAATAAAGGACGTGGATAGAAGCAAAACGTTTTTCAAGTTAGTTGAAATGTCACTTTGATGGGGCAAACCAAGCAGGTATACCGTATTCAAAAATTGGACGTACAATAGCACAAAATAATTTTGGAATTACAATCAGTGTCCCTACAATGACCAATTCTATTAATAAAACCCATTAATTTCGAAGCCTTAGATCTGATCTGAGTCATATGCAAAACCCAATCAAATTTTGAGGTAAAACTTACCCCGATGTACTAATAAGAATTAACCTGGCCCAATGTGTCGACACCTATTATATAATTATTAGCATTTTGGCTTAACATAGTTGACCCAGTTAAGCGCATCGATTTGCATTTTGATGAATTCAAAAGCATATATTGTTTATGCTCCAAAGTAGAGTACAAATTAAATCATTTTGAAGTAATTGATGGTCTTCAGGAGATCAAATAGCTCTAAATAAAACTGTATCATCTGCGTATTGCAGTACATGAGATGAAATAACAGACGGCATGTCTAAGAAAATATATATTAAATAACATGAGACCTAAACAGACTCCTGAGGAACACCCGATTGAACCATACAGGTATTAGAAGCATTTCTACGAAATATAACTTGTTGCTTACCTATCAACAATTTTGAAGCATCCTTAATAACTATATAAAGCCATTGCTTTCCCCTTCAGCATAAATATAAAAATACAAAATTACATATGGATCACTAAATTTTATTAAATTCTGTTAGGCATAAACACAAACTATATACCAGATTATTAAATAATCCAAGAGCTAAAAATGAGAAAATATATAAAAGTTTTAGAAACTCCTGACTAATGTTATTCGAAGTTTTAAGTCTGATTATTTTAAAAATAAGTTTCAACAAAGTACTAATGTTATAAAAAGGACATGGAATATTATTAATTTACTACTCAATAAGAGTAAAACTCTAAAATCTCCTAATGGTATCAATTTTAATGGTACAATGTCAAATGACCCGATTGTGATTGCAAATTGTTTTAACGATTTTTTGTTGAAGTTGTTCCACGCTTGCTAGCAAAATTGATAATGCCAATCTTAATTCTAGTTTTAAAGATTATCTTCTAGCTCCTGTAATTAACTCAATGTTTTTAAGTCCCGTTCATGAAACTGAGTTGGTTAATGTTATTATGTCATTTAAAAATAAGGCACCGGGCATTGATAAATTTAATAGGCCTACTAATGTAATAAAACCTATGTGTAATTTTATTTCTAAATCCCTATGTAATATTTTTAATATTTCAATCTCTCAAGGTATCTTTCCTGCCTGACAAACTTAGACAAGCTAAAGCACTCCTGTTTACAATGCTGGGACTAAATCTGAAATAAACAATTTTCGCCCAATTTCTATATCAATGATCTCTATAACTCCTCCAAACGTCTTTCATTTTGTATGCTGATGATACCACCATTTTATATTCTACTAAGTAACGTGGATTCTCTTTTTAAAGTTGTCCATTTGGAACTGAAAGCTGTTAGGCCTACTGATTACTTTTTCTGTTAACAAGTTTTCAGTTAATGTAACCAAGTGTAATGCTATTGTTTTCCATGGTCGTAATAATCCTTTCTAATAAAATAGTTAAATTAAATCATGTGGCTATTCCATTAGTTGACAAAGTTAAATTTCTGGGATGTATTTGTAAAAAATTATCGAAAAACAGGTACGGTATTATTTATAATTTTTCTAAATTTCTAAATTTGCTCCTCAATCAATTGTACGTATTACATGTATTTTTCTCTTATCTTCCCATTTTGAGTTACAGTGTAATATTGTCTGGGCCAACAAATATTCGTATACTCTAGACAGACTTACCAAACACAATAGAAAGCTTTTAGAATTATTTCTTTTTCTCAGACTTTTAGCCATACTATTCCTATATTTTCGTTATTAAAGTTATTAAAATTTGCTGATATTAATAACCTTCAACAATGCGCACTATATTTATTTTTATTTCTCTCTTTTTAACAATTTAATACAGTATAATTTTGATTTTCATAACTATGATACCAGATCTGCTAATGAACTACATTTACCGCAACCTTGTACTGATGCCCTTGTTTTTAACATTCGATTCAGTGGTGCTGAATTCTGGAGCAACATACCTTTTGAGATTAGAAATACAGCTAACAAAAAGTCCTTCATTTATCAACTTAAACATATTCTTATTGTTAATTATTATTAAACAGATAATGATCTTCTTTTATTTATTTATTTATTATACTTGAGTGTTGATTGTTTGTGTTTGTTTGGGCATGTGTTTTGTTTGCCTGTTTCTTGTTTTGTGTGTGTAGAAGTGTGTTTTGCATGTTTATATCTCTATGTAAACTAATTACCTTTCACTTTCATGGCCCCTCCCACACAGGTTTAAATATTCCAGTAAATGTTTACTGAAAAAACTCTAATATTTTTCCAACCGTTGAACACAGAGACAGTGGCCTATAATTGGTAATAGTAAAAACTATATCAAAGGGGCGGGGCTTAGCGTAAAGGTCCATTATCATTCAGTTATAATATGGAGGTATTATTGAGAAGGAGATCACTCAAAAAAGCTACGCGCACGCAGAGCTATGCAAATGAACCAAGAACAAAGCTGCCGCAGCGCGTGAAGAACGTTTGCGCGATGGCTTTGAAGTCTAATGTGTTCCCCGCCACCAAATGCTCAGCAGGCTTTGATTGCCAAAAGATTGAACACGGCGAAATGGAGAGCACATTCTTTTCTCAATGCGCACTACTTACAGCCAATCACTATGACTGCGCAATCGTTTCCATCTTGAAGCTAATACATTGATCTTTCAAGAAATACCAAACATAATTATATTTTCTTTAAAAAAGAGTTTCGAATTTAATGAAACATTTACATTAGCTTTAAAAGTATGGTATATTGCAACTTGAATAATTCCAATTTAACAGATATTAATTAAGGAATGATGGTGGATTATAATAAACTATTTCATTTTAGGGTTAACGAGGGTTAACTATTAAAAAATTCAATTCAGAATCAGAGTAATTTTCAGTTTTACGCTGCCTTAGCTTTTTAGTCAAACAAATCGATATTTAGACAAAATTATAATGAACACAGAAGTAATTTTAACAGAAATATTTTGCGGAATCTGTGTCTGAAATATACACATAATAACATACTAAAAGTCCGAAAAAACCCAATCAGGGGAACATTGTTTATTATAAAGATATTTAATGGGTTAAAAATC